TTATATTCCTAACTTACATATAGATCAATGTGTGATACAATTTATCATTTCACACAGGGTAAATTCCTCATTCTGATGATAGATGATTTTCACAATATAAATGCAATCAAGACACCTCAAGGTAGAAATATAACTAATGCTGTCCACATGGCAACTATCATGCTCGATATTCAACCATTCAGCCAAATATCAGCTATCTCTAAAGTGCACAGAGAAATCAAAGTCAAGTTACCGTCCCAACAACATGAAAAACTATGTAGAGGAGGAATCTCCAGTGAATCCGTTATCCAAGAGCTCAAAAGAATATGGCCACAATACAGTTTGTATTCCTTCTTGGAAAGCCTCCCGCCAGATTACAAACAGATAAACCCATCCATACTAAGGAAATCATTGAAGGAACTCAGGTTTACATGTGTATATTGTATTAGGCTGTGGCTGAGCTATTCTGCATTATATATTATATTTATTTTGAAAAAAAGCAGGAATATAGGCATGCAAAATGCCTATAAGCCCTTTTCGCAAACAGTTCAAGATAAGTGTGAGAGTTTGTAATACCACAATAAAGAGAYAAATATGAWTGAAACTAATTTCAAATACATAAAAATTATTACAATCTATGTAATTCAAGCAATTGYAAATAGCTCTCTCAAAAGATAAAGCAATTATTCAAAGCTCACTTCATTTTATCTTATACTCTAGAGTTTATGCAAGAGAGGATGCACTAGAATCCCAAACCCTAGAATCAACAGTACTGATTGATGAAATAGAAMAAGATCTGCATAGCCTCCAAAACTATAAAGACACCCACAGTCACATGTTTGATGTTTCCYCAGAGCTCAAGCACTTTGCATCAACCTACATCCTCCCTGTAGCTGGTGATTGGCCGACATGGTACTTTCATAAGAAAGATATTTGTCTCTCAGAGGAGAACATAAACATGATTCCTGAGCTTGGACCATTCCATGTTTACCTCAATTCTACTGAAGATGTAATTAAAGGATACCACCCAGTATTTGAAGAGTTGTACAAGTCTGTCTTTGGTGAAAAAAAGATCCTTCCTCTCAAGCCAAAACCAGAGAAGGTATCACTGTGCATCACACTTGCCTTTGCTGGATGGTTGCAGATTAGAGATGCCATTCTTAATGCCTTTGGAGAGTGCAAGGATGTTGAATATGCCTGCCTATTCCATCTATTTGACGAGCTRGTACCATTGACATTCCTACATTACCCAGTGTTTGTGAAAGGAAATGATTTCAACAACGTTCATGTTTCTATGAAGAGACTRGCAKTCATGTTCATTACAATGGARCKGCACCACTACAACAAAGCAAGTCTGTCATGGATCAGTGACAGTCATTACCAGCGTAACTACTTTCCAGACTACTACACCRCAAAACAACACCTGTGCTCTGTTATCAGTGAGAAGAAAGTGGAAATATTCCATTCACGTCTGAGAAGCAGGATATCTAAAACTGACAAGGCACCAAAAATCCAAGAAACAGCCAAACTTTTAGCCAGGTCAAATTGTCAACCTAATCATTTCGAACAAGATTATGTCAATGGTTACAAACGAGGGATAAGCGACCAGGATTTACTTTTCCTCACTGGTAAAGTTCAGTTCCTTTTTCGAAATGAAATTCAACATTATTACACCAATAAATCTTTATATAATTTCAGGATTAGCAGCTGAGAGTTTATTGGACATGTTTGAGCGAGTGGCTACAAATCTTGGAGGCTCAACGCAGCTACCCAGACCTATCAACAAGGCTGGTAAACCATATGGCAANAATGATTACACCATCCCTAAAAACAAAGATGCTAAATACTTCAAGTCAGATTCATTCAAGAAGCACATTAAAAACGCATCTTCGAAAATTCTTCATATAATCAACAAGTCAAAATTAAAATTGGAAGAGTGATTGTAAATAATTTCTGAAAATACAAAACTTTGAGAACAATTATTACTTTCAAATTAAAGCAAAGTTCAAACATAAAACATTTCTGGAACTATTCCAACGAGCTACGACTTTTGGACTCGTATTTAGAAAAAGTGTAAATTAATTGTCTGCGTTTGTAAACAAGTCATTTCAGTTACCACCAAACACAAAGGAGATAAAGAACAACAACTGTTCATATATCTTAGTAAAAGCATGTAATATAATTTTTAAATCACGAATTAACTCTTGGGAATCAAAGCAATATTTATCGGAATGATTGATCGATATTTTAATAAAACGCAGCACACGTCTCTTAGTTAACATATGGAAAAACTCACCATTTGTATTGGTTGAAGACACAAATATCGTTTGAATAAGTCAGTTGGCAGTTTAACTCAAGATAAAATGAAAATAAATTTCCTGAAGACGCAAAAAACTCCTAAAAAAGACACATGTTTTATGAAAATTCGCAAAAACTCAGCCGCCATGATGGCCGCCATTTACCAGGCTCGAGAAGCCGCTGTACGCAATGATCGAGTTGGCAAAAACGTATTTCCGCGGTGCCGATGTAGCTATGCTGAAGATAATTTGTAACCATTTTGAGATACCCTTTAAATCAAGAGATAGAAAGCAAACACTCATAGATAAAGTCTCATCTATGATTAATGACTGTGAATGCAGCTCAAAGTAATTGATGAAGAGGTCTTGCCGTATATGTTGTCAAAAAGCAATGTTATTAGTATAATATATATAGTATACTTCTTTGGCCATTAATATTGTGTTTTAACGACAAGTATTTATAACCTATAAACAAACCAGTGTATTGCTGCTATATGTCTGTAATTGACCGGTAATTCAGTTTGAATATATATCGTATGATGTATCTTAGGTCTTTAATTAGATTACTCATAATATTGCGTTTTAAAGATTAGTATGCAATATAAAGACAAAGCGAGTACTATATGCACATATAGAGAAAACCAGAATAACTAGAATATTATATCCCTTAATGTTATTGGAAGTTGCTTGTATGGRCGAAATCRTAAAAATCAATTGATTGAAGCTGGCGTTATTAGTTTAGTAATATGTAAAAATATCAGTTACATTTGTCTTGTTGTAATAACAAAATCTTTTTAATCATAATTGATTCTGATACCTGTCTCATCATAGCATCATTGCTGTACACACCCCCTGCTTTCATTACCCTGGCCCTCTTCTTCTGTGTATACATCAGTAACACCGATTGCMAATTATTAATAAAAAGTATCAATTRTTTTTGCAAAATCATATTATCTTTTTCTATTTTACTTATGAATTTGTTTTACTCTTTTTATGAGACCAGACGTTGGGCTCGGCGTTWTTACACATGAATGCGGACCGCTGAGGAAACGAATACTCGGAACAACAGTTCGAAGTTGACATCTTATTGACTCAAAAATAGGCTAAAATTGTACTTTTATAACATTTTTATTTAAYTTTACYCTTCAAGATAATACTTAAGTATAATAYTATCCTTTTTATGAAGGGAAAGCTCTTTGAACGACATTTGTTCGATCATGTTGAACTATATTAGTAGGAGTGTCATGTGTCAACAATCGGCGCCTATCGATTTCCAAGAATATCAGCCTGTAATTCATCGCTTTAATGGATATTTACTAGATCWTCAATTGRCTGCAAACCTCTAGGATATCAAGAACTGTCTATAGGATGGGAAGAGGACCTTYGTTTGGATCAGGWAAGTTATATTGGGTTTATAGCGAGTATGACTTGGCCGCTACTTGTATTTGGCAAAATTTCAAGARATCARTWAACCTGTACAACTTTGAGCGAACGTAACTTTTTTTAAACCAAATTCGTACACTCGATAATTGCCATAAGATCTAATGAGAGAACATACTTTTACACTGTAAAGGTTAGAAGAGCTAACTACGTCCCAATTTTTTAAATTCATGGTTTAGAAATGGGCTATTTTGAGGGTTTCCGAGGAGGCGGTTAGTAAGGTTTACAATATTTAAAACTACTTCATACAAAATAGATTTATATATAATTCACCACGATAGCATAAAACTAGAGGAAATAAGAAAGAGATTGATGTATATTTCATTATTTTCGGAAGTGTTTTGAATCTTTTTTAAACGTTGCCAAATATACCCTTTTTCCTGTTTTCAGAAGGCTGATTTTTGGTGCCACGAGCCGAAACTCAAAATGGCTCCTAGCTCAACAACAAAATCGTTTTGAATCAAACCATATCTGTTTTTATTCTAGTATTAGTGAAGGCTTTCAGTTGGAATAGCTAAAAGAAAGATTTATTTTTGGAGCGAAAATGACCGGGTGGTTCTTACTGAGACAGCCTCTTAAGCCAACATTACTATTAAACAATTTTGCAACACAATCCCTTTGCTATATCACAGCAAAGAATCATCCTTCGACTTTTGTTGGAGATACTTTTCTTTGGTCTGGTTACCATGGTTATTCCATAATGAAATTTACAACACACTGACGTTTTCAATATTTATGAAATGCTCAATTTTKGGTAACTTTGGTGTCTTGTATCTCTGGTGGTAACGCTCTGTTTGAAACCAAAATTATGTCCAGTACTATTCTATCCTAGGTTTACTAAAACCTACTTTCAAAATTTTGGGAACGTAAATATTTGCTAAATGACAGACATCCAAACTAACCGACCTTGTAACAATTTCGTTAAATAGACTCAACCAAGATATCAAAAAAAATGATAACTAAAAACTACTCATGAACTCGTAAAAGCCGTTTTGGAATCATTTATAATTTATATTTCATGGATATTACCACTTTTAAAGTTGTTATTGAGATATCAAAGCTGCAAGATTTGTTTACGTTATTTTTTTAAATGTCTCATATTGTAATTTAAAATCAAAAGATTAAAATGTGCACTGGAATTGGCATCTTACCTAAATTAATCCATTATTTTTCGCTATGATTCTTCAAGATATCATTAAATTATCACTAACTTTTGATGGTATCAATGGGCATTTCTCTTTGGAATGCAATACTTTATACCCAGCTCTTGTAATTGAGACTGTTGAAATCTTCTACTTTTACCGCTCTTTGCATTGCTACGCGGCCACCCCAGACAAAATTCGCGACGTGCACTTGGCTTTAGACTGCCGTCAATCAAACATTTTGACGTCATTTACGCGCGGTCTGAGCAGTTCGAGCGGCTTTCTACAAAATGGAGTTTTCAAGTACAGGTACCGATATGTCCGAAAGCGATCGTAGCACAGAACTGGAGTATCTCCACGTAGATTTACCAGACATCGACGATACTCAAATTTGGGACAGCCCAGGCGATGTGGTAGGTAAACCGTTTGACGTTTTTTTTAAAGGAAAATACTGAGGGACTCTGATTTCGATCATACACATTATTTGTCATGGTCGTTTGAAAAATGTGTCCGTAGATTTCGCCTTTCAATAACAACACGAAAACAGCAACAATAAGAAACGAAATTTATTCTATTTGTGTTACAATAGCGGCAAATAAGGCTGCTATTGGAGCTGATCTTGAGAAGTTTGAAGTTTTGTCGTGATAAAACAAGCTTATATATGGCCACCGTGGTTTAGAACCCAAATTGTGTGGGAAATCCATAGCTAAATACTGAATCATGAATGAAAGTGTATAACTCGTACGCCATTTTACAAGTTTTCTGTCTAGATACTGACAGTAGTATACTGCTTGGGTCTTATAAGTTGTTTTGTTTGTTTGTTTGTTTTTTTTGAACGAAAAAAGTGTAATGCACGTGGTCGAAAATTACCAATGACTCGAAATCCCTCAAAGATTTGTAATCAGAGCTTTAAATTACTAAAATATATCTTTTTCCCCGGTCTAATTACCAGTATCTTCAATTGACAAAAGAATATTATATCTTATCCGTGCAGAGAGATGTTACCCTCTACTTACAAACTAAAAATGGAAAAATAGCTGGCGCTGAAAACGCCCCCTTCGAGTTGCCACATCGCTGGACCTACAGTACTCTGAAGATGTGTATCCAAGATTACATTGCCAGAATTAGAGATATTGATGATAGGGATAACGTCAAAATTGATCAACTGTACTTTAAAAAGCGTGGTAAAAGTAAAGCAATAGTTGCTGTTAACTCGGACTCTGACATACCTTCAATGCTCAACGAGTATCCACTACAGTACCCAAGTGGGAAGAAGAGGCCTGGAGTGAGGCATGCTTCTATTGTAATGGCAGTTGACTGGTCATTCAAAGGTAAGTTATTGATAATTATATCAAGCTATTAGGGTTTTGATAGGGTTAAAATTCTTTTCTTAGTTATTATATTATGAAAGAAATGGGAAGCTTATTTAGTGAGTGGGTTTTGTAGAGAAAGTTGTATCATACATGTACATAAACCTGTTATAGGTTTTTATTTATAGTGGGTATAAATGACAAAATTAGAGGCCAACATGTTCCTAATTTTTGGGTTCTTACTGTACTTGAAGGGTTTCTCTGTATATCAGGGAGGGGACAATGACAATGATTTTTTTTATTCACACAGTCTCATCGTTTTCTCCTCGTCGCTCTCCAAGACTCGCCTCAAAGTCATCAACTAGAACCCAGCCATATGAAAATGATGATGAGTTTGAAGTATTTGTTTTTGAAGTGATGAAGGGAATGAGTCTTTCTAAAACAAGTGAAGTTCTTCATGGCATACCCAAAAATTGCAATCTTGAAAATTTGCAAAAAAAAAAAAATTGAAAGAGCTTGAAGGATCTAAAGTCTTTGTTCCTACAAAGGACCACTACTGGCTTAGAAAGGGTAATAAGCAAATGGTGCAGCTACAAACTGACCATGACTGGC